GCCTTGCGTTGCGAACGCTTGTCCAAGGCAGTCGCTTTGCACGCAGAGTCTGTCGGGTGTATGCGGTGCCGAAATAAAGTGGTCGGGGCGGAGGGGGCGCTGGGCGGGCGCTGGAGCCGCGGGGGGGCGATGAGACGGCGCGGGGGAGGGGGCGGAGCGGGGGGGGGGTGCGGTGCCGAAATAAAGTGGTCGGGCGGAGGGGGCGCTGGGCGGGCGCTGGAGCCGCGCGGGGGCGCTGAGACGGCGCGGGGGAGGGGGCGGAGCGGGGGGGGGTGCGGTGCCGAAATAAAGTGGTCGGGGCGGAGGGGGCACTGGGCGGGCGCTGGAGCCGCGCGGGGGCGCTGAGACGGCGCGGGGGAGGGGGCGGAGCGGGGAGGGGGGGTGCGGTGCCGAAATAAAGCGGTCGGGGCGGAGGAGGCACTGGGCGGGCGCTGGAGCCGCGGGGGGGCGCTGAGACGGCGCGGGGGAGGGGGCGGAGCGGGGGGGGGGTGCGGTGCCGAAATAAAATGGTCGGGGCGGAGGGAGCGCTGGGCGGGCGCTGGAGCCGCGGGGGCGCTGAGACGGCGCGGGGGAGGGGGCGGAGCGGGGGGGGTGCGGTGCCGAAATAAAGTGGTCGGGGCGGAGGGGGCACTGGGCGGGCGCTGGAGCCGCGGGAGGGCGCTGAGACGGCGCGGGAGGAGGGGGCGGAGCGGGGGGGGGGCGCGGTTGCAGAAATAAAATGGTCGGGGCGGAGGGGGCGCTGGGCGGGGCGTGGAGCGCGGGGGGGGCCGCTGAGACGGCGCGGGGGAGAGGGGGCGCCCCCCCCCCCTCCCCCCCCTCGGCCCACCCTGCGACGGCGCGGGGGAGGGGGCGGAGCGGGGGGGGGTGCGGTGCCGAAATAAAGTGGTCGGGGCGGAGGGGGCACTGGGCGGGCGCTGGAGCCGCGCGGGTGCGCTGAGACGGCGCGGGGGAGGGGGCGGAGCGAGGAGGGGGGCTGCGGTTCCGAAATGAAGTGGTCGGGGCGGAGGGGGCACTGGGCGGGCGCTGGAGCCGCGGGGGGGGGCGCTGAGACGGCGCGGGGGAGGGGCGGCGGGGCGGGGAGGGGGGTGCGGTGCCGAAATAAAGTGGTCGTGGCGGGGGGGGCACTGGGCGGGCGCTGGAGCCGCGGGGGGGCGCTGAGACGGCGCGGGGGAGGGGGCGGAGCGGGGAGGGGGGATGCGGTGCCGAAATAAAGTGGTCGGGGCGGAGGAGGCACTGGGCGGGCGCTGGAGCCGCGGGGGGGCGCTGAGACGCGCGGGGAGGGGGGGAGGGGGGGGGGGGTGCGGTTGCCGGAAATAAAGTGGTCGGGGCGGAGGGGCGCTGGGCGCGGCGCTGGAGCCGCGGGTGGGCGCTGAGACGCGCGGGGAGGCGTGCGAGAGCGGGGGGGGGGGGGGGCGGTTGGCCGAAATAAAGTGGTGGAGGCGGAGGAGGGCCCTGGGCGGGCGCTGGAGCGCGGGGGGGCGCTGGGACGGCGCGGGGGAGGGGGCTGGAGCAGCGGGGGGAGGGTGCGGTGCCGAAATAAAGTGAGTCGGGGCGGAGTGGGGGCACTGGGCGGGCGCTGGAGGCCGCGCGGGGCGTGGCGGACGGCGTGGGGAAGGGGCGGAGCGGGGGGGGGTGCGGTGCCGAAATAAAGCGGGGGGCGGGCTGGAGCCGCGGGGGGGCGCTGAGACGGCGCGGGGGAGGGGGCGGAGCGGGGGGGGGTGCGGTGCCGAAATAAAGTGGTCGGGGCGGAGGGGGCACTGGGCGGGCGCTGGAGCCGCGGGGGGGCGCTGAGACGGCGCGGGGGAGGGGGCGGAGCGGGGGGGGGGGTGCGGTGCCGAAATAAAGTGGTCGGGGCGGAGGGGGCACTGGGCGGGCGCTGGAGCCGCGGGAGGGCGCTGAGACGGCGCGGGGGAGGGGGCGGAGCGGGGGGGGGTGATGATGGTGATGGATGGTGATGATGATGATGGTGATTGCGATGGTGATGATGGTGAGGATGATGGTGATGATGATGATGATGATGCGATGATGATGATGATGATGATGATGATGATGATGATGATGATGATGATGATGATGATGATGATGATGAAGGGGGGGGTGCGGTGCCGAAATAAAGTGGTCGGAGCTCTAGACACCCTGTGCAAGAGAATAATAATGGTAATAATAATAATAATACGAATAGTAATATTAATAATAATAGTAATAGTAGTAATAGCAATAATAATAATACGAATAACAATATTATTAATAATGATAGTAATAGTAGTAATAGTAATAATAAGAATACTACTAATAATAATAATAATAATAATAATAACAATAATAATGGTGATGGCGATGGCGATGATAATAATAATATCAAAAGAGGGAAAAAGAGAGAGAGAGGGAGAAAGAGAGAGAGAGAGAGAGAGAAAAAACAAAAAAAGGAGATGCACTGCCAGGAGAAGGGACAGACACCACCGGACACGGCGGGCCCCCCGAAGGACATGGGCGCGGCACCTCGTAGTCGCAGCACCCAGCCCACAGGCTCGAGCACCTGTGCCGGCCCACGCTGCGCGTCGGACAAGCGGGCCCTCTGGCGGGTACGGACACGGGCGGCCTCCTGACGGACGCGGGCGCGGCAGGCCCCCTGGCGGGCCGGCCCGTCCGGCGAGGCCGCGCATGACACGCGCAGCAGTGGCCTTGGTGATGGCGATCGGCCGCTCGACCCCCGCGTGACGGAGTGGCTGCAGGCGGGCCCGATCGAGGTGGAGGAGACGGGCATGCCGAGGCCGATGCTGTGCAGCTACGACTACTCCTGGGCCTTTCCGTCGCTCTTGCAGGACCCGCTGCGGCGGGTGTTGGGGGTCCGGGGCACCCGGCAGCCGCTGCTCCTCGGCTTCCAGAGGCAGCACCGACAGGCTCGCGCGCTCGATGCTGGACCCCTCCGAGCTGAGCTTGTTCGAATCCGTTGGGGCGCGCTTCAGGGAGATCCCGCCTCGGGGCCCCTGTTCGTGGCGGGCGAGCACCCTTGTGCCTGGACCTGGCCAAGCACCTGGACGCGCGTCGCCGCGGCATGGGCCGCTGGCGTGCAGACGACCTCCTCACGGCCACGCTGCAGCGGGCGGGCCCCCGCGAGGTGGCGAGGATCATGCGGGCCTCCGCGGTGCTGGCCGACCTGGTGCTGAACGAGGAGAAGTGCGTCTGCGCGCCGCTCTGGACGCCCTTCTCGGAGGAGGTGGAGGCGGAGGCCCGCCTGGAGCTGGAGGCCATCTCTCCCGGGTGGCGCCGCTTCCGCATCGCGCCGATGGTGAAGGCGCGGGGCCTCCTCGCGGGCCCAGGCGCCTCCGCGATGGGGCAATGAGCGGCCACGCTTGAGAAGTAGGGTTGGCGGACGGGCCACGCCGCGTTGGCCCCGTACGATTCCCAGACTGCCGCTCGGGTCTACCACGAGCGGGCGCTGAGCGCGACCTCGTACCTGGCCCCGCGGCGCCTGCCGAGCACCATGTGTTGGGACGGCTCCTGAGAGCCCCTGGGTGCTTGCTGGGGCGGACGGACGCCGCTGCGCTGGACCCGGCGGCGCCCCCGCCCTTCGCCCCGCGGCAGGGGCCTCTGCGCCGCGGCCCGCGCGCGGACGCGCGCGGCCGCCGGAGTCTCTCTCTCCTCCTGGCGGGCCATGGAGGCGGGGCTCCAGAGGCGCCTGCCCCTGCAGGCCCTGGGCGAGCGTCGCCCCCGGCCTGCGTTCTGGCAGGCGCGGCGCCGATGGCGGTGGGCCCTCTCGGAGGCGGCAGGCCCCCCGACGGGGCTCCCCGGCAAGACAGGGGCGGCGCTGGAGGCTCGAGGGCCGGCGCGCCGAGGGGCGGAGGCCCCGCCTCCAGGCGGCTCCCGCGCGGGCCCGTGCGGCGGCGGGGCGCCAGGCCGCGCTGGCAGCACGCGCCCGCCAGCGCCTCCGATCCTGGCTCGGGCTCCCTGCTCACCTCCTCGCTTCGCTCGGCCTCGGCTCGGTTCGGGCGTCTCTCGCCTCTCTCCCCCCCCCCCGCTTGGCGCTGGGCCCTTTGAGGGACCTGGTCGGGCGGGTGTGTTACGGACGCCCGACTCCGTAGCCCCCAGCTCGGCTGTCTCTTGGGATGACAGGGGGGCACCAGATTTCCTGACCCATTACGTGTCCTGCCGTCGAATGGCCGCTTTTCTCCGCTTTTCTGGTGCGGACTTCAGGGAGGGAGGGGGGGGCCATTCCCTCGGACCCGTTCGCTCGACCTGCCCTCGTCGGCCACCGACGCGGTTCGAATGATGGTGATGCGGTATCATATGCGCCGACACCTGTACGTGCTTAGAAAGAGGGGCCCAGGAGGGGCCACCTCGGACAATAAATTTCTTGAGTGTGCTAATTAGGGTGGCCCGTGCGGCCACGAATCTTCCCAGAGGTCGCCGCGGGTCCCCAGCCTCGGCCCCATCCCGCCAACGAGCAGGGCGCTGAGCTCAGGAGGAATCGAACCCATCCCACGCTGGCCCCCCTCCTCCTTCTCCTCCTTTTCCTCCTCCTCCTCCTCCGCCTCCGCCTCCTCCTCCTCCTCCTCCCCTCCTCCTCCTCTCCCCCCTCCTCTCCCCCTCCCCCCTCCTCCCCCCTCCCTCCTCCCCCCCTCCCTCCTTCCTCCCCTCCCTCTCCTCCTCCCCCTCCTCCTCCTCCCCCTCTCCTCCTCCTCCTCCTCTCCCCTCCTCCTCCCCTCCTCCTCCTCCTCCTCCCCCTCCTCCTCCTCCTCATCATCTTTCTCCTCCTCCTCCAGCACGGTCAGGACTCTTCGACCCTTCTATTATGTTACATGATCCTCCTCCTCTCCCTGCCGCCCGGCGGCCACCGCATGCGCGCGCGCTCTCGCCGCCGCGCGGTGCCCTGCGTCGGGCACCCTCGCTTCGCCCCAGACGTCCGTCGGACTTCACTTGTTAAGCTGCAGCGGCTTTCGAAGCAGAGAAACTACATGTGCATGAACTGCGTATTCTGGGCTCAGCAGCATTGGCCTCGAGGGGGCGGGTCGTCGCTGGGTTCCCGAGGCCCGGCCCTTCGGGCTGGGCAGCGCATCGTGGCAGCCGAGGGCCTCCGGCCCCGCCCGGCGCAGGACGTCCTGGTGGACCTCCGCCGGCATCTGCGCGTTCCTGCTGGTGGGGCACGCCAGGCTGTCCTGGATGTCGGAGGACTCCGTGGGTGGCCTTTTGGGGGGGGATCAGGGGCGGCGCTAGGGATTAAGTCGGGCATGGCCCTCTACAGGTGGAGTCTTCAAGCAGGGTGCAGAAATAGTCTGGGGACGATTTCTCGTGCTCCATGCTTATGTTGGGGCTGTGTTTTTCCCTACCTAGGCTCTGCCTAGAGGGTTCTTACTCTCTTAGCTTAAAGGGGCCGGGCAGTGGAAATCGCCCCCGGCGGTTCCCCCAGTCCCCGCCCCGCGGTTTCCCCAGGTGCGCATCCTTAGCTTAGCTTTGCTTATATCATCTTAGCTTAGCCTAGCTTAACTTAGCTTAGCTTAACTTAGCTTAGCCTAGCCTAGCCTAGCTTAGCTTAGCTTAACTTAGCCTAGAGCTTAACTTAGCTTAGCTTAGCTCAACTTAGCTTAGCGCAACGCCGTATTAACATATCATAGCATAGCATAGCATAGCATAGCATAGCGCAGCATAGCATAGCTCAGCATAGCATCGCATAGCATAGCATAGCGCATCATAGCATAGCATAGCTTAGCTTAGCATAACACAGCGCAGCATCACACATCATATCATAGCATATCATAGCATAGCGCAGCATAGCATAGCATAGTGCAGCACATCATAGCATATCATAGCATAGCATAGCATAGCCTAGCCTAGCATAGCATAGCATCGCGCAGCATACCATAGCATAGCATAGTATAGCGCAGCAAAGGCAAAAGCAAAAGCAAAGGCAAAGGCAACAAGCAAAGGCAAGAGCAATAGCAAAGGCAATGCAAAGCAAAAGCAACACCAATGCGAAAGTGTAGATGTAGATTTGGATGTAGGTGTAGGTGTAGATGTGGATGTAGGTGTAGATGTAGATGTTGATGTACATGTAGGTGTAGATGTTGGTGTAGATGTAGGTGTAGATGTAGATGTAGATATGAGTGTAGTTGTAGATGTAGATGTAGATGTAGATGTAGATGTAGATGTAGATGTAGATGTAGATGTAGATGTATATGAATGTGTACATGTAGATGTAGCTGTAGGTGTAGATGTGGATGTAGGTCTAGATGTAGATGTAGGTCTTAAGCTACACTATCATTACTACTACTACTACTACTACTACTACTACTACTACTACTACTACTACTACTACTACTACGACTACTACTACTACTACTACTACTACTACTACTACTACTAGGTCAGAGGCTGTTCGGTAGCCTGTGTGTTTTCGCATACGCAGAAGCGAACGCCCGCGCAGCGACGACGACGACGATGACGGTGGCAGCGGTGATGATGGAGCGTGTCTTGAGGCAGTGATGTGCCCATCGCGTCTCGCAGTGCTAACTACCGAACATACGGTGACTGCGCTGATCTCTTATGCGCTCCACACTGGTCAGCGTGAGTACCCACGCTGCACCCTTACACTGAAAAAGCAACAGCCCCAAACTTTGCGTTTGAAGCAGCTTCGCCAGCGCCTGAACTCAGCGGCCCAGCAGCCTGGCCAATGACTTGAGCGCGCCCTCAGGACGCGCGGAGGAGGAGGAGGAGGAGGAGGTTGGAGGGATGCTCCCATCTCTCCGACATCTCCGGAGCTCTCTCATGAATGCAGGTCTTGGGGGCGACTATTTTTTCGACATCGCACGTTCAGTTGTGAAAGGGAATGCTTGCATGGACATGTGCGGAGGGAACGTGGGACGGTAGGGTCGGTAGGGTGCAGCGCAGCATCGTTGATGCATCCTGGCTTCTGTTCTCTCTCCACGACTTCAGAAAACCGTGCGCCTCGGAATTCGACAACTACCTCGGATGTCTGGTGAAATTGAAAAGGAAATTGGTACAATACTCGACTCCCATCAACTCGGCTGCAACTTCCTCCTCCTCCTCCTCCTCCTCCTCCTCCTCCTCGTGCTCCTCCTACGGGAGGGTGCATTGCAGCATCGTTGATGCATCCTGGCTCCACTCTGAGTTTCTTCCTCCTCCTCCTCCTCATCATCATCATCATCATCCTGCTCCTCCTACGGGAGGGTGCATTGCAGCATCGTTGATGCACCCCGGCTTCACTCTGGACCTCCTCCTTCTCCTCCTCCTACTCCTCCTCGCCCTCCTCCTCGCCCTCCTCCTCTGCCCTCTCCTCATCCGCTCCCCATCCCCCCACAGCGTCCACCAATTTCGCTAGCGGAGGCGCCAAAACCATTGAAAAACCAAAGAAATCCAAACAAATCCAATTAATCCCTGTGAGGGTTCCAAAAAAAACAGAATAACCAATTATTCTGCAACTTAGTCGGTCTGGGGCTCGTGGGGCTGGAATTCCAAAATAATTGGAAAACCTTCGAAAAAACAAAGAAATCAAAAACAATCCAATTAATCCCTGTGAGGGTACCAAAAAACCCAAAATAACTAATTATTCCGGAACTTAGTCGGCTTGAAGATGGCCCGCCAGCCCCTCGAGACCCAGACCGACTAAGTTGCAGAATAATTTGTTTTTTTAATTGTTTTGGTACCCTCACAGGGATTAATTGGACTTGTTTTACATTTTTTTGGTTTTTCAATTGTTTTCCAATGTTTTTGGATTCCCAGCCCCCCGAGCCCCAGACCGACTAAGTTGCGAAATGATTTGTTTTTGTTCTTTTGGAACCCTCACAGGGATGAATTGGATTTGGTTTGGTTTTATTGGTTTTTCAATGGTTTTGGTGCTGTTATCTCCGACTGATCCTTCCCCCTCCTCCTCATCATCATACTCCTCCTCATGGTTCAACGCACGTGGGAGGTTCACACACGCATGGCAGCGGAACAACACATACAACCAACAGCAAACATGAGACACGCAACAGCGCAGCAAAGAAGTAGCACAACAAGTTAAACGCAGCACAGCGAAAACACACAGGCTACCAAACAGCCCCTCAGCTACTACTACTACTACTACTACTACTACTACTACTACTACTACTACTACTACTACTACTACTACTACTACTACTACTACTACTACTACTACTACTACTACTACTACTACTACTACTACTACTACTACTACTACTACTACTACTACTACTACTACTACTACTACTACTACTACTACTACTACTACTACTACTACTACTACTACTACTACTACTACTACTACTACTACCGCTACTGCTACAACTGCGACGATGAGGAGAAGGAGGAGGACGGCGTTTACCGTTACTACTAATATTGCTCTCCTCGGGGCTCCATTTCCTGGGTAGGGTCGCTCTGGGATCATTACTATGCTTGGTTTCTCCACAGTCCGCCTGTAGGAGGACATGCCCGACCTAACGCTAGCGGGGGGGATAGGCTCAGAGGCGACGCGTCGAGCCCACCCGCCCAGGCATCGCCAGCGGGGGCCCGAGGGCCCGCACTCCGCCCGGGAGCACGCGGTGGCTTCGGTCTCGGGATCCTGTCGCCGATCTGCCGATCTACCTGGGTCGGGGCTGCACAGAACCCCCAACAGTGACACGTCGATTAGTGAATTGTCCGTTTTCGGTTCTCGAGATGGCGCCGTGGCCGTTATTTTCCAGGCTTGCGCCCGCCAAGTTTGGGCCTCAGGTCGTTTTCACTAAACCACGTTTTACTAAAGGGGGTTCTGTCCATCCCCGACTGGGGTCCGCACGGATTCCTCGCGGAGGTCTGCGCGGATTTCTGGGGTCCGATCTATCTGGGGTCTGCATAGACATAAAAACTCTGAGGTCCGCGCGGATTTCTCGGATCGGCGCTGGAGCGCGCCAGGTGCGGCGCCGGAGGCGCCGCCAGGGGGTCCCAGCGCCGATCCGAGAAATCCGCGCGGACCTCCGAGTCTTTATGTTTATGCCACCTTTTGTTTCCCTAGATCTATTTCGAGGTCGACGTCTACCGCCCTGAGCGAGTCCCCCCTATGATCGTCACCCCTCACGGGGGGCCTTGGCGGGACGGCGCGGGGAGCAGTCGAACCTGGCCTTGGAGAATGGGCCTTTGAAGCAAGGGGCTTTATCATCCCTCGGGTTTGGGCATGGCTGTCATGCTTCCTGCCACCTCGGCCCAAAGGTGCCCCTGACCTGGCGCGCTCGAGGTGCCCTGCTCCCCTTCTACTCCGTCCTTGTGGCTCGCATTGGCTGTGCCTGGCGAGAAGGGCGGGGGACCGGCAAGCAAGATCGACCGGTCGGAGGCCGAACCCGTGTTTGTTACATCTCGCCGCCACGAAGAAAAGGGGATTTGAGGAAAATGAGTCTTGAGGTGTTGCGCCGCTTTCGGCCTCTCGGGGCCCTTCCCGGGCCCCAGGGATGTCACAGAACGGCTCAGGTGGAAGGGACGGCTGCTCCCGCGCCGACGCCTGGGACACACGCACATGTGTCATTCGAGAGCGTTCCACGAAGCTCGCTCTGGGCGTTCTGGAGCGCTCTGCAGGGGCCGCGGCGCCCGGTTCCGGTGTTGCCAGAGGTGTCCTTGGCCCAAGGTGTCCCCGGGATTTTCAAGGGAGCCCCCACGGCTTCAGAGCACCCCTCTCGAGGCCCAGGGTTAAGTCGGGCCCGTCCCTCCACAGGAGGAATAGTATGGTGACGGTTATTCGACTATTTATCAGCATTGTTGAACATTTGCTTTTATTCGTCGTCCAAAGTCCCCATGTAGGAGGACATGCCCGACCTAAGCCCAGGGGCTCCAAAATGGAGCGAACAGCTGAAGACACCGTGGTTCAGGGACACATTTTAGCAACCCCCGACCGGTGCATCCTCCAGACCCGCCAGCTGCCCGGTGTTGTCTTCAACCTGCTCAGTCTCACAGGAGGGGCGCAAGAGACTTCCTGGGGAGAGCCAAGAGACCGAGACGAGATCGATAGATCGGGATGAGGTGGAGGAGGCAGGGGGGAGGAGGAGAAGGAGGAGGAGGAGGAGGGAAAAGAGGGAGGAAAGGGTCTGAGAGGGAGGAGGAGGGAGATGAAAGGGACGAGAGGGACGAGAGAAGGAGGAGGAGGAGGAGGAGGTGGAGGAGGAGCAGGAGGAGGAGGAGGAGGAGCAGAAGGAGGAGGGGAAGGGGGACAGTGCTGTGCTCGTACATGGTAAGTGTTCAGGTTGACCGTCTCAGATGCAAGGCCGTGTACTATTTGTACTAAGTCAGTCATCTGGTTGGGTTTCTTAGGTTGGAAATTGCCCTTTGCGAATCCCCTGGCAATCATGGAGCCAGCATGTATAGTGACGTCGGGTTTGCTGGTGGCGCCGTGGAAGCGTGCGTATATTCGTGCGTACGCCCATATCAGAGCAGCTAGCTCTGACGTGGCAGAGTTACAGGGAAAACTGTCGTTCCTAAATGATATTGTTGCGTGCTCCAGTGCTTCCCTGGTGTATGAAGTCTTATTCGTCTTCAGTGGTGATAACCAAGGCCCATGAGTCGTGGGTTGAGTCGCGCTAGTATGTGCCGTCTGTGTGTAGGTGCATCTTTTGACCTGTTGATCGGGTCGTGGTGGGCACAGATCGAGCGCCATTGAAGCTGCTGGGTGGAGGTCGGGCACGTTGGTGAGGTCATGCTGGCGCTGGAGAGTGGGTGGGAGCGTTCGCCCCAGGACGGCCGCCATCGGCTCCGTCGGGAGGAAAGGAACTGCAAGTGTAAAGTTCCTTTGCCGTGTACCTTGGGGGGGCTCCCCCATAGGTGCGTTGGTCTGCAGATGTCGCCTCCTCCACGTAGTTGTCCAGGTCGCCTCGCACGGAGCCCGACCTGTCGTTACGCGGCGGGTCCCACTTGGTTGAAACAGGTGTTGCGAGGTCTATTGCTGCCCCGCTGTCCCTCTCAACCGCCAGACTTGCTGTGCTATCTCCGTCCCCCTGGAGGTTAGCTACTGCTGGCGTTGTCTGGGCTTCCCTGCTGGCACGTGTATGCACTGCGTTGACGCAGGGGTTGGCCGAGTCAGTGCATCGTCTGCTGTCTGTGCGACGCTGGTAAAGAGGGGGCATTGCTGCTCGTTGGATTTCAGTTCGGCGTTGGAAACGGGATCGTGCATTGGGTCGTGCCCGTATAGTTCTGGAGCTTTCGGCTGTGGTCGAGCTGCGCGTTCCATGCACGACGTGCTGTGGCGTTGGCACTCCTAGTGAGTTGTCGCCTAGTCCATTGGCTGTCGCTATGTCGGCCCTACTGGCCTCGTGGACGGCGGCGTCCCCAATGCCACCGTCCGTTGTCAGGTTTTTGGGGGTTCGGTCACTGGCACCTCCCTCGATGCCGCTGCTGCCGTTGTCATCATGCAGGCTCACGGGCATGATGTTCCTCGAGTCCGCTGGGCCCACCGCGCCCGGGCCGTTGTCCGCGGCGAAGCGTACTGGACGTCGCGGTGTTGATTGAGGTCGGCTCAGTTCTGTACGCTTGCGGCGAATGCGAATTGCTTCTGGTGGATGGTCAGAGGATCTCGGTGGCAGTGAGGTTGATATGTTCGATGGTGTGCCGATGTGGAATGTCGGCGCCGCTCGGAAGTCGATGGGTGTCATGCGCTCCGTTGGTGATATGGTTGCTCCTCTTGGCGGTGCACATGGTGTCGTTTCAGCTCGTCGCTCAGGTTGGTCTCGTGAGTCCTGTTCGTCTGCTTTCGGCATCGGGGCGTTGTCTCCTTTGAAGTCGCTGCGTTGGATGTGAAACGTATCCGTCCAGCTGATGCAGTAGTCGTCGATCCTTGGCTGAGTTGAAGCTGGGACCCACAGTTGGACCTGAGGTAGTATCTGTTCTTCGTCATGCTCCTGTCGTAGCGTTGAAGTCCCTTCATCCTCTATCATAGCGTCGGGGGGGTCGTCTTCTGATGCCGTCGTTGTAATGTTGAGGATGTCTTTCTCCCGTTGATAGTCGCCCCGTTGGGCCTGGGTGCCGTGGTCCTCGGTGTCGGAGATCTCGGAATCAGGGATGATTGGGAGCTGAGCTCCTTGGTCGATTTGTTGTGGTCCTGCTCCTTGTGGCGCCTGGCGGAATGTGTCGATGGGCTGCGAGTCGTCGTTCCTGAGTTGGTTAGCGAGGTCATTGACGAAGTCTGCCTCCCGCCCGCCCCTTCATCAAGGCGTGGATCTCTGAGTGGGGCATCCTCAAGCTGTCTTGCTCGTCGCTGCATGTGTGTTTCAGCGACCTGTTGCTTGTTGTGTTGCTGTTGGAGAAGCTGGTCCTGCGTTTCTATGGATGTCTTAGCTGCAGTTAGCTGGTGTTGGTCTCGTTGTATGCGCTCCGCGTGTAGCTCCGCTGTCACCGCGTAAGCCTCTTTGTGCTGGTGGAGCTGGGTGATGCAGTTCTGCATGTCCTCCGTTCGTCCCTCCAGTATGTGGATGGTCTCGGTCTTGGTTCGGCATTGCTTCTCTTCGATGTGCATGGTTTGCTTTTGCCCGTAGATCTCGTTCTCGAGGCGTTTCATCCTTTGCTCTGAGAGTTTGTAGTTGCACTGGATGCGCTCACGCGCCTTGTCCTTTCGCGTGCTTGGCTTCCGCTGCTGCAAGTTATTGTAGAAGTTGTTGTTGCAAGTGCTGCTGATCATGAAATTGGTTGGCTGCATTTCTCGTCTGCTGGAGGCCGTTGATGGTAATATGTTGCTGGTGCTCCAGGTGCTGCATGGCTTCGTCATTATCCTACAAGCTCTTCTCGAGTTGGTTGGACTTCATGGGCGTGTCTGGAACCCGTGGCTGCCGAGGCTGATGTATTTGTTGTCGTGTTTCTTCGAGGGCTCTTTGCAAATACTCGCTGGTGGTGGCCGTCTCATCGCAGTTCTCGAGGTACGGTCTTGATGCCGGGGAGATTGTGCGGTTCTGGTCGATGGTCTGGCGCATGATGGTGTTGGCTTCACAGAGCCCGTTCTTGAGGTTCTCGGTGGCGTTGTTATCCTTCTCAGTCTTGCGGGCGCTGTGCTCTGCAATCGTCTCGGTCGCGTTCCTGGTGGTCTGCATCTCCTTCTTGTGCTCCTCCACCTGGTTCTTCTCGCAGCGCTGTACCCTGCGGTAGATGTCCTCCTCGTTCTTGTAGTAGGATTAGGTCGCTTCTTCGAGCTGGTTGCTGACAGCTTTTTGGTGTGCAGCCTGGCTTCGCTGTGATTCGGCTTTCTGCTGTGCTTCCTGTAATTTTTGTCGTAGTTCATTGACGATGAAGGAATCCGCGGATGTATGAGTCGCTGAGGGTGCTGTTGACATGTCTCCGATATATCCTCGGTGACGCCTTCAATGCTGGGAGCAGGAGTGTCAGACGTGTGGCTTTGTTCGTATATTGGGCGTTGTTGCTGACTCGGCGCCCGCATCGTCATCGGAGTCCGTGAAGTCGTCGTAGTTGGCGATGTCGGTCACCCAGAATTGTAGCCTTTCACTGGCGCTCATCCAGCTGTTGTTGTGCGTCGTGCATATGTGTGACTGTGTCGTTGATCATGTTCTCGGCTTCTCTTCGCTGGTCCTTGGTGTCGAATGAGTATAGCAGGATGGACTTCTGTGGTCGGGTATTGGTGACGATAGTTTCGAAGTCGTAATCGTCGTTGGCATGCCTATGGATGGTTGTGATGGGGTAATCGACGTCGGACTTGCAGTTCTTGCGGTACTCCTTGACTCTGTCGAAGCGGTGCATTGGTGGCGGTTCGTTCCAATGCTGCTGTCTTCTGGCGTCAGTAAGGGTCATGAGAGAGTTGTTAACAACTGTCTCGTTTCTCTTCTCTTGTCTGCGTTGCACGTTGAGGTGTTGTGCTGTTGTTGCTTCTGTGTATTATGCTGGTGCTGCTGTCCCATGGAGCTGCTGCTGCCCGTGCCGTGGGTGCCATCACGGCTGCGGGCGCGCCATTGTGTCCGAGGGGCTCCTGTGGTGTCCCCATGGTGTTGCTGGTGTCGGTGCTGGTACTGCTGTTGGTGCCACTGCTTGTTTTGGTAGCTGCCAATTGGGGTCTGTGCCATCTTGGGCGCCATGGTGGTATCGGGTGGTTGTGTTGGCTGCTGAGAGCTGTGGTGATTGGAGAGTCGTTGTCGTGCTCGGTCGAGTCTAAGGAGCACGCAACCATGGGCACGCTCGCGGTGTAGGCGACGGTGCCAAGCGGGCGACCGTGGCCGTAGGGAGGTCCTCTGGAGTGAGGACGTGGTGACCCCGTAGTTCAGGTGGATGAGGAAGTACTGGGAGATCTTGTGAGGTCAATATCGCTGTTCAGGCACAGGGGGTACTTGATGATTCGAGTGTGGATGTTCAAGTACAGGGAATAGTTGGTGTTCTTTTTCGCGGGCGAATGGCGCCATGCTGGGTGCTGCCCGGCCGTGGCGGGGGGAGCGCCCCTTCCCTCCCAGCGACTTCGGCCAAACGCATCCCTCGTTCTCCGCCTTCTCCTCCTCCTCCGTTTCGTCCTCCTCCTCCGCAACCCGCGCCACAAGATGCCGCCCGACGACGACGACGACGACGAAGACAACGACGACGACGACGACGACGACGAGGACGACGACGACGACGACGACGAGGACCACGACGACGACGACGACGACGACGACGACGACGACGACGACGACGACAAGGCGGCGGGGACGGCGCCCCACCGCAGAGCCCCCCCCCAACGCCAGGACGTTGCCGAGGCCGAGCAGCAGACGGGCTCCTCCTCGCCAGAGGCCCGCGGGGGGGGGAGGAGGCCCAAAGGGTGCAGCGTTGTCTATTGTGTACTGTGGGGCTGGGAGCGTGGGCCCAGCGAAATGTTAGGTCGGGCATGTCCTCCTACAGGCGGAGTTTGGATGAATCCTATCAGATACCCCAAAAGTGCCCCAAAGTGGTCAAATATAGTCAAAGAATCGTCCCCTGAGCATTTCTTTACTATCATTGAATATTCCTCCTGTAGGGGGACATGCCCGACTTACGCGCAACGTGCAAATCATTGTGGCTAGGGAAACCGCTGGGGGACAACTGGCCGCCCTGATTTTGCCGACCGATGCCGAAACGGTGCGTCTTTGTGGGGAACGCGCATGCACTGCGCTCCGAGCTGGGGTTGCGACCAATTTTGCTTTTGTCGGGTCTCTACCCGGGGCGCTTCAGCGAATGGGGCACTGAGAGGGCACATCGATATGTCAGGAGTGCGCGTCCAGGGATGAGAGGGAGAATCCCGAGCACGCAAAGGAGGATAGACACATAGGGGCGAGGGGAGGTAGAGAAGGAGGAAGAGGAGGAAGTGGAGGATTCGCTCAATGATAAGTTTTCGGAAATTCGATGTTGGGGTTGCGATGGATAGAAGTAGACAGCCTGACATTATCTGATATTATCTCACACCGCCTATAGAAGCAATGGGGTGCAACGCATTGCGACTGCACTGCGCACCTTACATGTCGAGAGCGGCCTTAGCGAATGTCGCGCATTCAACGCGCGAGTACCTGCATGCGCAGCACGCGTTCGCACGACCATGCCCAACCACCACCGCCGCGCACCCGCGTGCGCGAAGCACCCTTCGGCTTGAGCCGCACGGAAGCACCGATCAAAAAAAGCACGGAAGATAATTTTCTTTGAGAAAGTCCCAATCTGTTGATCACGCGAAGCATGTACAGATGGCGCCATGTCTCGCGCCGCAGGAGCCACGCATGGCTTACAAAGGGACCCGTGGGGGGCCCTTGGACGGCCCGCGGAGTCAACCAGAGTGGAGCACCTTAAGCGGCTGTTCCAGATGCTCCACTCTGACTCGCTCTCGGTTCCCCCGGGGGCCCTTTTGGGGCCATCTCAGGCCCCCCGAAAGTTTCATGGGCGCTTCAAAGGATGTCAAGATGGCACCATGGCCAACCAGAGTTGAGCATTTGAAGGGGTCGTTTCTGAAGCTGGGTCGACGACGGGGCCCACTGGGGCTCGTTCAGGCTCCTTTCGCAGCCATCTAGAAGTCCTTCGGAGGCCCGGAGGCTTCAAGAGGCGCTAAGACGTCCCCCAGAGTCGACCATAGTGGGGCATTTGAAACGGCCGTTTCAGATGCTCAATTGTGGGTCGCTTTCGGGGCCGTCTTCGGGCCCTCCTGTGGCCATCTTGCCCAGGGGGTCTTGAGCGGGCCGCGAGACGGCCCCAACCGCGCAGAGCGCGTTCTTTCAAGGTGCTCCCTCTTCTGGCTCGCTCTCGGCGCCCTGGGGAGCCCCTCCCGGGGCCCTGCTGGAGCAATCTTGGAAGCCCGAGGAGGCGCCAAGGGAGGTTGGGAAAGGGCTCCAGAACGGCCCAGCACGTAAACCAGACTGGAGTGTCCGAAACAGTCGCGTCAGATGTCCCAGCCCCACCCATGCCCAAGGCGTGGATTTCCGCGCGGACCCCCCCCCCCCATGAAAACAGTACTTGGGAGCAGTGTCGCGTCGACTGCGCCTCGGCAGACAAGCTCTTGGGAATGCGGTCCACAGGGGTGACAGCTCAGTGCGTGAATGCTGCGAGATACTGTAAGCCAGACGGCTGCACAAATGCCACAATTGATGTTGTTTCTCTGAATCGCGAGGGCAATGCGCCAGCGATTCGCCGACGTCAGACGCATAGGCCCGTCGCCAATTCATGCTTCATCTGGGGCATGACGGCGACACGCCAGCAGTTCATTCGCGACGGGCAACCGAAAACATCTCCAGCGACATTTTAAATTAGAGTGCTTGCAGCGAGGCGAGCCGCCCCTGCGTCGAACGGCCGATTGCCAGGGCGGCCCGCCACCATGCGCATTCTAGATCGCGCGGCGAGGCGCAGCATATTAATTGGCAAGTCGTAGTCTCTCGCCTGCGGTCGACCGCTGTCGCGAACCAGTGCAATTCAGAAATCGTAGCCCCTTCTGCGTCGAGGAGGTTGTGCGAGGCGACTACCCGCGGAAATCGCATGACATGCTTATGGCTTGGACTAGCTTGTAAACAACCAAAATCACCAGCTGGGCAATCAGTCGCGGAGCTGGAGCAACTTCGGCCCTAGAGCAGCTCAAGTTCAGCAGCGGCGTTCGATTTTCCACTGAGTCACCTGCCATCGCTTCGGGCCGCCTCGGCCACATCGGCGAGGCGGGGGGATGCAGGCCGTCCACGTGGATGGTCATGAAATCAATCGTTTGCGCGCCCCCCTCCGCCCATGCTAGGACAAATCTTAACGTTTGCGGCCGAGACGCACCGAGGGCCCAGACGCGGTGCGCGGACGGCCGCGAGGGGTCGACGGTCGCTCCAACATGGAATTTCCGGGCTCACCCGCCTCCCCAGGCCCCGAGGGCACCCCCCATATGCTCCCGGGACACTCCCGGGACACCCCCGGGACATCCCAGGGACACTCCCGGGACACTTCCGGGACACTCACGGGACACTCCCGGGACATTCAGGGACGCCGCCAGTTTTACGCGCCCCAGTTTTTAGGATTCCGCCTCAAGCATGCCAACGGGGGCCTCTCGGTTTTTTTTTGATGTGAAACGGAGAGCTGAAGGGCCTTGAGCTCCTCCGGGTTTTTCGGATGCTAATCAGAGCTTCCCAGGGCCTCGTAGAACGCTGTCTGGCACCTTCGGGCCGTTTTCCGCAGTGGAGATGTCTTGCCTGGACAGTATTGGGTCGGTTGGATTGGCCTAGCTTTGGGGGGGCTTCAATTCAGTTCGAACGCGAGATTGCAACGCGCGCGCGCGCCCGCCTGTTTCGTTGCCGGTCGGGCCCGACAGGTCTGCCTCGCCACGCGCGCGCGCGCTGCTGATGGCAGGCTGGGCGGTCGATGAGGCCGCCCCCGAACAAGGCACGCTTGACCGCTCCGCAGCTGAAGTTGAGAGTTGCTTGCTGCGGGGCCGATGGTCCAGCTCATCATTCTTGAGATTGCCAACCGCATGAACAAATTGCGCCGCCCCCACCCATGCCCGAGTAGCGCGGCATGCTCGACAGAAGCGAGGGTGCAATTTATGAACCACTGGCTCGCGACATGCGTCGATCCTCCGGCCAGTCGGCTGCAGCGGGGATGCGATTTCTCAATATTTTGCGCCCCCATTAGGATCCTCGGGCCCACGCTGGCGAGAGCTGCCAATGCCGTCGGCCGTTCGGCGCAACGGCAGGCCGTTTCAGTGCAAGCCTTGCTCGCTTAGAAATACCATTGGTAATATTTACGGTTGATTAATGGTGTTGGAAAGGATGGAAGAACCGTTGGCGTGCCGCTGTCACTTCTTGAAGAAAAAGCAGTCGCGTTAGTTAGATCGTTCTGTGTCTGATGCTAACGAATCATTGAAACCTTGTTTCACGCTCCAGGGAAATCAACGCATCAATGGTTTCGTGCCTCTTAGGCATCTGTAAAATTGATGTATGGGGTCAGTCGCGGACTGCGCTTATTTGCTGGCGCAGCGCGTTGCCAATGGTCTCTCACGAAGCAGTCCCTATCACGTGGCTCCACAAATCGTGTTTTCACGTTTTTCCCAACCATCCTGTGGTGTTGGGTCCCCGTTTTGAAGAGACGGTGCCCCGCGTCTCTCCTCCCTCCGTCCTTCCTCCCCCCCCTCCTCCCTCCTCCCTCCTCCCCCTCCTCCCTCCTCCCCCTCCTTGCCTTTGCCTCGGCACATCTCTCACACGTTTGGTAGCCCCACAGGGAGCCCCACCGAAGGTCCCAGTGGCAAAGCCCGCATGTGTCCGCCACACACAGCACAGCGTTTCGTGGCCCCATAGGGAGCTCCACCGAAGGCCCCAGTGGGGGGGGCGCATGCGTCCGCCACACCCAGCACGGCGCTTCGTGGCCCCATAGGGAGCTCCACCGAAGGCCCCAGTGGGCGGGGGGGGCGCATGCGTCCGCCACACCCAGCACGGCGCTTCGTGGCCCCATAGGGAGCTCCACCGAAGGCCCCAGTGGAGGGAGGGGCGCATGCGTCCGCCACACCCAGCACAGCGCTTCGTGGCCCCATAGGGAGCTCCACCGAAGGCCCAAGTGGGGGGAGGCGCATGCGTCCGCCACACCCAGCACAGCGCTTCGTGACCCCATAATGGGGAGCTCCACCGAAGGTCCCAGTGGGGGGGGCGCATGCGTCCGCCACACCCAACACGGCGCTTCGTGACCCCTTAGGGAGCTCCACCGAAGGTCCCAGTGGGGGGGGCGCATGCGTCCGCCACACCCAGCACGGCGCTTCGTGGCCCCATAGGGAGCTCCACCGAAGGCCCCAGTGGGCGGGGGGGGCGCATGCGTCCGCCACACCCAGCACGGCGCTTCGTGGCCCCATAGGAAGCTCCACCGAAGGCCCCAGTGGGGGGGGGGGGGGCGCATGCGTCCGCCACACCCAGCACAGCGTTTAGTGACACCATAGGGAGCTCCACCTAAGGTCCCACTGGGGGGGGCGCATGCGTCCGCCACACCCAGCACAGCGTTTAGTGACCCCATAGGGAGCTCCACCTAAGGTCCCACTGGGGGGGGCGCATGCGTCCGCCACACCCAACACGGCGCTTCGTGGCCCCATAGGGAGCTCCACCGAAGGCCCCAGTGGAGGGGGGCGCATGCGCCCGCCACACCCATCACAGCGCTTCGTGGCCCCATAGGGAGCTCCACCGAAGGCCCCAGTGTGGGGGGAGGGGGGGGCGCATGCGTCCGCCACACCCAGCACGGCGCTTCGTGGCCCCATAGGGAGCTCCACCGAATGCGTTGCTCACAAAGACGGTACTCACAACTGCAGATGGTCGGGCCCTTCGCCAGG